GTGGTGCAGCGCAAGTCATCCATGGTCCGTCTGTAGTCGCAGTCGTCCTGTGGTTGGCCACAGTGACAGGCAAATCCGAAACCGGATGCCTCCAACCAAGTCATTTTCGGTAACCACAAGTGAGTTATTGGACGTTGAACTAAGAATGAGGATTGTGCCGACCTTTAAGTGGTCAGCCAAAAGCCTTTTTGTGTCACTGGCCCTTGAAGTTCTGTTGCGTTATGCGACTACTCTCGGCTCTCCGGGCCCTGATGGTCTTCCATGTTTAGCCTTATTCCATCGGATTCTGTGGTTGTCGTGAAATCTATCTCTTCATAGCGCTATTGTAGGGGAAGATTCGCCAATTTTGCCGTCCCCTATGAGTCGTTAGCACCTTTGTGGTAGTATAGTGATTTACACTCTCATTATTTGTCCACTGGTGTGGTCCAACTGACTCCCGACGCAGTGTAGTCCCCCATGATGGTAACGGTGAGTGCTTGGTAGATCTGTAGGGAGATGTTCAACATTTTCTAGCTAGCAGATGTAGTAGTATTAGTAACAGTCCTACGCATAAACCTAGCGTTAAATTAAACCCCACAAATCATCGGAAGATCACAGATTGAATTACCGCCCCATCATCATTGCACATTAGCTGAAGGTGAACAACTCACCTCAGCTGTTGTGCAGCAAGATGAAAGAGACCATCTTTCACACCATTTTGTTTGTTATGGTTAATCATTAAGTATCTGTATCTAAACGAGTATGTACACAAGTCTTCCTCTGGTTTTGATTGCGCGCCATTTCTTGAATTGTTTCCAGCCATCGGCACCCTACCTTCTTAGGTCCAAAACCAGGCCAAGACAAAAAATCAATGATTTCATGTGTTGTCATCAGGCGGATGGTTCATCACCGTCTCTTTCATCCGAGTCATGCACGAGCGATGTGGCTCGATGTGGCAAACGCCCAGCTGGCATACGCAAGATGTGACCAAGCCATCTTATTTGACGCAGCAAAATTAGCCTGTTAAAGAGAAAACTCGCATTCCTTAAGACACGACGTCTGACTTCGCCGTTGCAGATACGCTGCTGCCAACACACACGAGCGACTCTCCTCAAGCACCCACTGTCGAAGGCCGAAAACTGGATCATGCCATCCACCCGAACTGGCCACTACTCGATTCTATACCGCAACACCGCCCGAACGGCGGCACTGTAAACATCAACGTAACCAAGTGTGAGACATCCCGACAAGGTCACAAATGTTTCATGATTGCGGCCGCCTGAGCTTTGGCGATGCGGAGGGAGATTTCCTTCCCTCTAGTGATACCAGCAACCATGCAGCTGCCCAGATAGGCAAATCTGTTAACTTTTCCAAGTGTGCATCTTCAAGAGTGAGCATGAGAACGAGCGAATGCCAGTCCTGAAACCTCACTTTATAGTTCGACGGAGAGAAGCACATTCCGTACCTCAATTGTCAGGCGGTTTATTGTGATTTGCATGCTCTTGAGTCGTCACCTGGTAAAGCGATGTTATCGGCATAATCTAAGTCGGTCGCCCGCTTGACCAACAGAAGCTATAAGTCAGGATTTTGGTGAACAACTAGAGATCTCGACAGGACGTCTTCAATCGCAAAAAATAAGAAGCGGACATCAGCCAGTCTTGTCGTACACCGCTTTTGATAGCGAAGGCCCTAAGAAAGTTTGTCATATACCCCCATTCTCCCGGAGAGGCAGACGTAGAGTGCGCATGGGGTGGCAGTATAGTTTTCTGGGATACGATTCTTTAGCAAACAACGCAGGTCGATCAGCCGATTGGAATGCAATACGGATGTCTAGGAATGCAACAATGGTACGCCCCTGGGGGTGTGGCTATGTTTGTTAGCACTAAATTCCGACAGAGCACCCATCCGAGAGTTACATAGTGCACATGAGGTCTGACTAGCTATGGACACAGATGGATCTCAGCGCGATCAGTTACCACTGGAGATTCTGTATCAATAACTTTCGCCCGATCCGAAGCACGAGCGTGAACTGGGACTATTCACTAGTAGGTGACTCCGGATTCCTTACTGCGGGAACCAACGAATACACTGTGGGCGCAGAGAATCTCAACAACTGGCGATTCAGATCTTCTGAATACTCGTCAAAGTACCCTGGCATTCGGATTGAGTAGGCGATCACTGAACACATTTAACGGCCATTGAGCACATGTCCACCGAAGGTTAACGGCAGCGTGTATGTCTTCATGTGGTAAATCTGATTACCAACCTAAACATTGGGTTTGTACTCAGTCTCGGAATTCTGGATGCTTACGAACATATTCTGACTGGGAACGAACAAAACGAGATTCGCAAAGCACTGAAGGCGAAGGAAGAGCTAGTGAACCGCTCAGCACCATTATATCACGCACCAGACTCCGTTGACTGGGTCACATGTTGCGCATACCAGCACACCGACTCCCACGACGTGCATTGTTTACGCGCCGGGGGTGCGATTGGAAGAGGGGGAGGGGGGGCAAGCGATGACTTGGTCGAGAGAAATGAAAACTTTCACTTCGACGTTGACGTCGCTTGGTGCATATTGACTGCCGACCTGGAGTCCTAAGAAGAATGAACACGTTTGGTTGGACACACTTGCTGGCATGGCTAGGAACCGGACCCAATGGCGTTTGTGTTTTGAATTACTTTGCCCCTCCCCCTCCTGCTTAGCCTCCCCTCCAATCACATCTCATTCGTTAGGCATAATATAACTCTTTCGCAGCACGATAGCCGGCTGTTTGCTCTCCGGAACGATGTCCATCCGTTACTTGGACTCAGTCGGTGTGCCTCTGTTGTTTTTTCTTCTTGTCCTTCGTATTGCAGCAATACCTGGCGTGTTTTCTTGCGTAGTCCGAGCAGAGTGAGGGCTAATAGCAAAGTGTCATTGTCATTAAGTCTTTATAACAATGTGAGACAGGGATGCCGGCTATCACCTTCTCCTTTGAATTTCGGTTCTGATGAAGGTATTGAAACTGCACCCGTCAGACCCTACTTGGAAGGAGTGGAGCTGCTGCCAAATAATCGACCTACTGACTTGAACTACTCAAGTGGTGCTGTTCTCATTTTTGACCAATTGCAATCGTGCCAAGCAATGATGTGCAGGTTAGCATTGGCTGTCAACCATTCCGGGTTGTGATTTGCACCATGAAAATGCGAAATTTTCTCCTAAGATTACCAGGAACCGCCCCTTGCACTGACTCTTGTTGGGATAAGCCTGAATTGATTCATAAATTTAACAGACTTAGTGGCTGTGTCGGTACCTGTGGACTATAGGGTGAGGTCACGAAACACATACCAATTTTCTCCCGTTGCTTTTACTAATCTACAGCTGGCGCGATTTCACTTTCGTCTGCATTGCAGCCATCCGTTCAACCTCACTATACAGTTGTGAAATCTGACACATCGAATCGTCGGTGCTTTCGCTGCTTATCCTGTATTTGGTGGAACATTGCGTGATCAGTGAGCGCGTCCAGCGTCATGTTTATGTCAATGCAAGGAGATATGTACCACTCGGCATCCGCATTTCACGCACCAAGCTCCAATGTTTTAGCCACCACCACGCCCGTGAGTTGCGTTGTTTGTGCGTCTAGAGTGTAGATGGAAGAAGAGGGAAGGCCAGCCGGTAATTTGGTCAAGAGGGATGTGAGCCGTCACTTCCAACTTATCCTCGGTTGAAGCCTCTCGAATTCTTGGTTGGAATGCGACACGATGAACACGTTCATTTGGGTGCAGTTGTTGACATCTCGAAGTACCGCCTTCAATGGCGTCTGTATTTCGCGTCTCTTTATCCTGCCTAACATCTCCAGCCACGACCTTGTCATCAACGCTTGATAAAAAAACATTTTCTGTTAAATGTTTTTGCATTTTTGCTGCTACCTAATTAGATCGTATTGAGGCACAATAGCCTTAATGTTTCTCACCCCTGGATAACGCATAATTGAATAGCCAACCAACTCATTTCATATTAATGGTGGATGTTTGTGAGTAGTGTAAAGTTCGAAGAAAGTAGAAGCCACGATTAAAATTCACGCACAATAATATGCCTCGACGGGGAGTCGAACCCCGGTCCACGAATTTCCGGTCCGTTGCTCTACCACCTGAGCTACCGAGGGCTGACGATTAGGTGCGCAAATTTTAACACATGTCTTCTGCTTGGTGCGCGACTTGTTGCCAATAAGCTCACAGTACCTGTCCTGATGTTGCAGATTGGCTCATTCACCCGTCACTTCCCAATAGACCGAAGTTCCTGTCCTTCAGACGTCCAATGGGCGATAGTAGATTAATGGTGGATGTTTGTGAGTAGTGTAAAGTTACAAGAAAGTAGAAGCCACGATTAAAATTCACGCAGAATAATATGCCTCGACGGGGAGTCGAACCCCGGTCCACGAATTTCCGGTCCGTTGCTCTACCACCTGAGCTACCGAGGGCTGACGATTAGGTGCGAAATTTTAACACATGTCTTCTGCTTGGTGCGCGACGTGTTGCCATTTCATATTGCTGACTCCCATGTACTTGGCGTACTCGTACTGATGACCACAGGTTGGAGGCTTAGCAATGTACACCTTCCACCGCTTGTAGTTGCTTAAAGTAGCGGATTTACTTGGCACTTTTTCTGTGCTCTCCAGTCATTGCAGTTTGATTGTTTTCGCCCTTATTCAGCTTATCAGTGGTCGTTGTCGGCGTTCATCTGGTTGTGTTACTATATTTACTCTGACCTCATCTCTCGTTGCTTTGTACCCTAACGGCGACATTGGACACATTTAATACACCCGCCTTACCTAGTCATATATTGTTTGTTCTTCTGAACTAGTGGGAGATGCAGTTCCTTCTCTAACACCCGACATCAAACCGAGCTCCTCACATTGGAGTACCGTGGTTCAAGCTGGTGTTTGATTCTCTTACGTCTGGTTCGTAATTTCTGTCTTTCCTATTTTCGTGTTGTCAGGGAGTGTTTATTTTTCTGTTTCTTTCTTTCCCTCCTAAAGGTCATGTTCCGCATGAACTTCCTGGTAGTGGCACTTTGCTTAATGATGAGCCGAAACTACATGATGTATTACTTTGTTCCTCTGGTCTCTTTCTGGTTCACCGTCGTTGCGCTTGTCATGGCAATCTACACCAAATTATCCGTATTATTTCCGAGTTGGGAAGCAGCAGAGTCTCGACCATGCCTTAGCGCCAAGTCACCAACGATAGGGTGCGCCACGAAGCGGAGTGTCAACGCCGCGCGGACGAAATATTGCGCAATGCTTGTGCTCTTCGCAATTCTCTGGTGCTGTATTGAACTACTGCACAGGGTACGCCAAGTTTTTCATGTCTTTTTTCATACAGGGTAAGTCAGCCAACTGCACTTTCTCTTTCATTCAACTGCCGGCACAAAAACCGGTCATGCAGCAAGCTGCGGCTACTGTCAGCCCGTACCATTAATTATAACTCGACATCTCATGAACTTGAGTAAAGTACCATGAATCACTCTTATCTTAGTTTACAACTCAATCACCAATCCTGGTGCGCACCTGAATAATTATTCTTCGCCTAATCCTGCGATGACCTCTCCGTTTACGTGCACTCGGTTCGGCTGTGCGACTGCCTTTTTTGGTTTGTCACTTGTCTTCCTATAGGAATCGTCATCAGCTCTGCTCGTTGCGACAGACACCTTTTCACCCTGTGTAAATAGTCGCAACGTGACTGGACGTTGACGAAGTGCGACGATTTGCGTACCTCATCGACCCATTGGGCTATACTGGGTGGTGCCTCCGAGCACCTTGAGAGCTACTCCTACCAGCTTGGTCAATGGTGAGAGGTCAGACAAACTCAGTCTCCTGGTCCTCCAGGGTGGGGGCTTGAATTGGGATGGCGTCCATTTCTGTAAAACTAAATCATTGCCATTCCGCCGCCTTGCGGACAGGCTTTTGAGTCAAAGCCTTTGAATGAGGACCCTAATCGTCCTCCTGTCTAGGTCTGGGCGCCCTGACAGTATCTCAGCCCACATACAACCATGACTTTGTCTTCCAATATGCACTTCATCCCACATCGGTCGTCGCGCAGATTATCAAGGGTCTCCTTATCTGCTGCATACAGCAGGACGGATAAACGGAAACGTGCTATTGCTGGCGCCTCCGTTCTTTCTTTTCCACCCGTTTCTCTTGCTCCCATCCCGGCCCCCATTACTAACCTTACTTCTAAAATTCCCAGTTTCACTGACAGCAACTGAAGTGCCACTGAAGTAGTATCATCTGCAGCCACCTTCTCGCGACATGCACCGGACGCTTATCAGCTATAGACCCTTATAAGGCCACACTGTCCCATTTCCATGGCGACACTCAACGTTCGCACTCTAAGACAAATAGGTCAACAGGCTGCACTCGCACTGACCTTGGATACCCTGAGTATTGATGTGTGTTGCGTGTCCAAAACTAAGATCATTGACCCTAATGGAGTTGTTGAATTGACTGCATCCGACTTATCCTCTCGTTATTGGTTGCACGCATCCGGAGACGTCGATGCAACACTCACGGGTCAAGCTGGTGTAGGTATTATTCTAAGCTCCAATGCTGAGCCATCCTTGGTTGTTTGGATTCTGGTGAACAGCCGTTTATATGCAGCCAGTTTGAGAACATCAGCTAAGGTTGCTTCACGAACTAGTACAAGACGCTGTTTGTTTGTGATTTCCGCTTATGCTCCCACCGACCGCAGTTCTAATGCTGTCAAGGATACACACTATCGCGAACTGAACGCGCTGCTATGCAGTGCTGCTAATTCAGATATAGTACTTGCAGGGGATATGGACGCACAACTAGGGCGTCTAAGCTCTTCAGAAGCTCATTGGGGTGGTAATTATGGGCTTAACTCCGAACGGACTGACAACGGTGAGCGTCTGCTGTAACTGTGTGCGGAGCACCAGTTATTTCTCAGTAGCTTTACTTCTAGACACAGTGGGCGCCGAAGTGCCACTTGGCGTCCTTCTGTAGCTGGCCAGCGATGGAACCAAATAGACCAAATTCCTAGAAGCTAAGAGTGGCATGGTTCCATCCTGGATTGCCGCTCGTACTGGAATACCTGTGTCGACTCTGATCATGCCTTGGTACGTTGTCGTTTCTCCATGAACTTTTGCGGGAGACGCACCAAGTGTCCCCTACGATTGGCAACGGAGAAATTGTCCCAGCCCTCGATCAAGCAAGCGTATCAAGGAGCACTGCGTACCGAACTTTCGTTGTCTTGTTGTAATGGCACCGAGCTTCAGTGGAATAGGATCGCTGCCGTCATGCACAACGCAGAAGCATCTGCTTGTGGCACTATCAATCGTCACCGCACCAGTCACTGGATATCCGAGAGGTCGGTTAACCTGTTGGAATCTAGAAGACACCTCCAGGCTGGCTCTGAACACAATGTGACCAGACGGGCTATTAGGCGCGCACTAAAGCGGATAGGGAAGTTTAGTGCACCGGTCGGGTTCAGAAAATGGAGGAGGCAGGAGTAGTCGGCAATTGCCGCGGACTCTTCTAGTTGATTCGCACCATTGGTCCCAGGAAACCGGGCGTCAGTGAGACAATCAGAGACAGCGCGTGTGCACGGATACACAATAAGGAACGCCGTATGGCTCGTCGGGCGGAACACTTTCACGATCAGTTCAGCTGGCACTCTGCTCCCGGACCACTTCCTACTTAGCTGATGCAGCAGGAGCCATGTACGGTTAGTTTAGAGGCTCTGTCGGAGGCCGAGATCCAAAATGTGATCACAGTCATCAATCGTTTTCGCGCCGCTGGCCCGGATTCCCTCCCACCTGCACTATTTAAGGATGGAGGTGAGGTCCTCTGCAAAGCACTGACCTCCCTAATTGAACGTATCTGGAAGGAAGAGAGTTTTAAATGTTTCGAAATACTGGTAGCTCGGGTTGATGAATCAATTGTTCATTTGTTCTCCGAGCTTGGCGGTTTTCTCGCAAGAAAGAGAGTGTCCCGGCTGATTGGATTGAATCGATTATAGTTGCAATACACAAGAAACTGAGTCGCACCGACTGTTCTAACCACAGGGGTAATAGCCTAAGGCCATTTGTGACAAAATTACTGGCCTCGATTCTCGTCGTCTCAGTGTTGAACGGGAATCTCGGATTACGGAAGAGCAGGCAGGTTTCCGCCTAAGTCATGACTGTATAGACCATATATTCCGTCTGCGGCAGATGTTAGAGCAGCACCACGCATACCACAGACCGAGAACAGCTGTTTCTCGATTTCAAGAGTGCGTTCAATTCCGTCGATCCATGCATTCTGCTCGAAATACTTGCGCGGAAAGGTGTTCGCATGAAATATGTGAACATCCTCCGTGTTCCATACTCGAACACTACAGGCCGCGTCAGGCTCTACGGTGGCCTATCGGATGGCTTTCCGACCACAAGTTGCGTTCATCGGGGTTATCCGATTTCCTCATTTTTGTTCAATTTCGTCGTGCATTCTGTGATGGAGTGTTCCCTTGCGGAATCTCACGATGTAGGTGTTGAAGTGCTGCCTGGTGAAAGATTAGTTGACCATGTTTATGAGGACGATATTGTCTTGGTTTTCGAAGATGTAGCGGCGGCACAATCAACCCTGAATAGCCTGTTTAGCGTAGTCATATTGTTTGGTATGCACTTCGCACCTTCAAAGTGCAAAATGTTGTTGCAGGACCACCAGCCACTTGGTGACCCCTTGACACATGCTAACGTGGAGCTGGAGGTGGTTAATCAATTCACTTATCTTGGCAGCTACATCAGGGACGATGGGCGCACAGGCGATTACTAGGTAGTGATAATCATGCTAGCTGCCTAGAACAACAGATAGCACTGAATAAGTTGCGTTGGCTCGGGCACGTGATACGTGTGCCTGGTCATCGCTTACCTAGGAGGGCCTTGTTCAGTCTGCCAAGTGTTGGTTGGCGCAAAGCGGACAGAAGTTGACTTGGCAGCGGGAAATGAAGTCACTGACGACCAAACTGGGTGCCGTTGGTCCGTCTCGCCTTCCGGGCTGGAGTCCACGTGACTCGCCTTGCGCTTGGCTCGAGTCTTTACAGGACATGGCTCGCAGTAGACACCAGTGGCGCGTCTGCTGCCGTCTCCTAATCGGATTGCCTGTTTAAATTGTGTTTGGTGCTGTTATCTGCGGGGTAATGGCTGATTATGATGCGTGGCAGTGAAAGCCGCAAGGGAGCTGTCTTGCTGATGCCGCCTTATCTTTGCACGATAGCCAGCTGTTTGTGACGGTATGTTGTCTACCCAAGGTGGAGGCGCCTTGACGCAGAATGTTTGCTTAAGGCATTAAGATTTTCAGGTATGTCCCCCTTCTATCCTCTTAGTATTCTTCATTTCACAGGTCATCATGGTTGTATGGCATCGAAGCATCAGTTCAAATGGCTGATGTACTGTTGTTGTAGTTGTGGTAGTAGTAATGGTTATATGCTTTCTGCGGTGTCCATATCGTTTCTGGATGGGCAATTTTTGACCTGAGCTGTTTCCCTTTGCGTATGATGGTCGTTATTGACGCGATCGGAACTTAACTGGTTTTCGCACTTGTGATGTCACTTTGTAGTCAGGCTGGTTCAGGGACGTTTTGAAATGTGTCCAACAGGGGTGGTTCGTTCCTGTTCGACGTTATTGTTTGGTGTGTCGTTGGCTATGTGTATTGTTTTCCATCCACTTTTTACTAGGTATTGCTTTCTTCAGTACCTAGCGAAGACAAAATAGAATTTAATTGCAAATTTCCGCCTTTTCACGGTAACGTTAGCGGGTCTCAAAGTTTGACTATCTGGTTCTTTTCATCCAGTATGCTCTGTTCATTTCGGAGCTCGTGTGCTGAAGTGCGGCATCGTTTCTCAAGCCCAACTGTGGATGAGCAGAAATTAGCGAAACGTCTGCATGCATCGCAGCGAATGCAAATTTAATGTCAATTGCTTAGACCTCCACAGTTCTGATCGTTGTCATTTGCTCCTCTGGTCAAATCAAGGTATCAACAATGCAGTAGTGCTTCATATTCGTGGTTAGCTGCCGTACGCCCGCATACGGACTGGAATAGTACTGCAATTGTGCCGAAATCCTTGCAAGAGCTTCAGCCTGGCGCTTAGAGATTGTGGGCTGAACGCTTTAATCATTATTTCACCCTTTCGTTCGCCAGACAGCATTGTTGGCTACTCTCCGTGAGTTGCACTCCTACTTTCATTCATCTTAACTTGGAGAAGTGCACCTTAATCGCTTGTTTTCTGGTACTATTTGGTGTTAATTGTTGAAATGAATCAAGGGAAGCAGAATCTGAGTATAGAATTCTTTTCGGTAATTCTCATCAGACTCAAGCATTACGTTATGACGACAAAATGCTGAATGTGCCGGATTGGGCTGCGTATTGTACAGTATGTTTATTTCCAACAGGAACAAATCAGTAAAACACCGGGTCCTTAAATGTGGCAAATTAGCTACAGGGGAAAATCACAGCAGAGATTGTAAGCCACACTAGAAGTAATGGACGTACAAACTGTTTTTGTGCGCACACTTCTGGCTTGAATGTCGGATATAGATAACTTCTGCAATAGATTGGAGGTGCTTCCGGAATCCTCGCGAGAAACGTTCAGGGATAGTTTAGAGGACTCTTAAATCGTTTTCCGTCACTGCTTGACGACACTCTAGAAGGTGAGACAAGATAAAGCTGTTACTGGGCCTCGCTTCGCCTTTTCAAAAGCACTTCGGGATGTGCTCACGAATCCTATGAGATAAGCGCCTCATAGTACGACCCACGTATCGTGCACCACAGGAGTACGAGTAAAGATAAACAAGCATTGATCGAATCACCGGAGACAGTCTCTCTTTCATAAGTTTTGCGAACAAAGGCTTGTTGTAAAATACTATGCGTAGGCGATCCGCGAAATAAGTCTTTTCAGCAGCGCCTTTCAGGCGTTTGGACTGGGCATCAGCCTCACTGTCACCTTTGAAAGGAAAGTACACACTTAGTTCTTTCTTGGGTACGTTCATCCTCGGTGGTTTTGTCTTTCGTTCTTTCAAATGTTTGAGGATGAACTTATCTGGATACCCCTTTGCTCTTAGCGCGTCACCGATCCTCTGCAATTTTTTAGTGATTGTGTCTGGTGTGCAAGTTCTGTGTGCCCGGAAGGCAAGAGTACGGACTAGATTTTGTTTGTGCTGTTGGGGTACCGCACTATAGAAGTTGGTGTGTTGTCTAGTCCAAGTTGATTTTCTATACACTGCTCTGCTGCACGATCCATCAGTGTTTTTGATGATATCAACGTCCAGGAACCGTGGTCGGTTTCCGGACTCGTGCTCCTATGTTAATTGTAGATTCTGATGCGCATCAGATTCTGCCACCCTTGATTCATTCTAATAACTGGGGATTTTAGAATTGATGTAGATCAGCATTCCCGGTGTTAATTGTGCCGCATATGTGATGTGTCTGTTAGCCTCGGGGATTCTCAAGTTGGCCACAAATGGACATCATTGCAGTGATACCGTAGAATCTCTTGTCAGTTCTTCGCATTAGACCGCAAATCAGGTGGTCTCCCACGCATCCAGAAAAGCATTAGACTACCGTTTCCTCCTATCTAAACTCATCAGTCAGTGGTTATCATTCGGCTCCACCAGGAATGAGGATCCCACCTATGGGATGCATCGTGGAAGGACTTTACTATGAAGGCAACGGAGGCTGCTGGGCTCTCTGCTGTGTCCTTCCTTCGCATTACCTAAACTGCTGAGTGGAATGCACCACGATGAACATCAATTGAGACAGTTCCACTTACATCAGTCTATCACTGTCTTCTCGGACTTCACCTTGCAATCGTTCCGGTGATTGCGTGAACAACTGTATCACCACCCTCGCTCATACGCGGAACGAAACACCATTCCATCGCGCTTGATCTGGACGAATGGATGGATTGCCTGAGCTTACTACTTGGATGGTCGCTACTGCTCGCGATGCATTTGACTCTATGTGTCTTCCATTAAGCCTAAACGCAGCGATATGGATGGTCCGTAGGAATTTTCATAGTCTACTGTTTTCTCACGATGCATCTCTTTCTTATTTCGCCTCATTCGCGAGTACTTTCGAGATAGTCAACTTCACTGATTAGAGACCGTATCTGACATGGCGCAGTCACGCAGCCAGTGGCGTTTCTGCATTCTTTTTCTTGCATCTGGTTGTTAATTTTCGTTCCATCCTGATTGGTTTGACGCACTTCCTTCTTGCTTCCGTTTTCTGTGCATTCTATTTGCCTTTATCCCCACTATCTTGACGTCGTTCTTTATTTTTATTATTGGCATGTGGGTCATGATAACTGGATCTACCGCATTTTGATACTTCGATGATAGTTGATCAACGGAACTGAACGACTACCCTACTTTGTTTCGCCCCAATAGTTATTCAAGGCTAGTTATCTCTGGCCGCCTAATTCTTTGATACTGTGTGCTTCTGTGTGGGACCCTATGTACTAGAATTTGTGGTCACTTATTTCTGGGTTCAATTGCACCGGGAAAGAGTTCAGTCTCAATTTCCAAAACTGTCCCACTCCATTCAGCGAAAAATTTATGCCTGTTATCTTGTCGTTGATCTTAGCCTTTTTGGATATCTACTGACGCTTGACGATCGTGAACTGGACAAGGTGGATGCATCCATTTCGGCCGACAATCGCTCGGAGGGCATGTGGTACTTCCGTTGGTCCTTGGATAGATATTCAACTTTATTTGGCATGTGTTTTGGTTTCCTATACGAACTAACACATCAGGCCTTTGGAGCACGAAGCAACCAGGATGTCCCCAAGAAAACGTGTCATAGCGTCCGCGTTACCACGATACCTGATAACCAAGCCCCTACATCAGCCTCTGTGGATGCTAAACACTGGTTCAGCCGCATTCCGGTCATTTTGGAAGCCATCACTACCTCAGTGGGTATTGCCAGCCTCACAGTGAGTTCCTCTTATTCACTTCTGTGCACCTGCTCAGCCACGATCCGAACGTCAGGGCTGTGAGTACAGCCACTGGAGTTCTCGTCACTGCAACACCGATAGAGTGAATGATAGATTGCAGAAGCTGTATTGAAAAGTGAGTCAGAGAGAGAGAGAGTCAGAGAGCCGAATGACATGGTTGGTATCTGGGTGCAACTCTCAAGGTACCAATGACTTCGCAACTGTGTACCATCGGATTAGTCATATAACCGCTTATATGAGAGACTCAGAACGATGACATATTAAGACTTTATAAAATCTTTCCATCCAAAATGTTACATTGTTACGCAGTACCACCGTCTTTTTTCATTTTCCGTCTCTATCAATCCAAACGTACAATTGGTACGTCGCTAGTGACAGTGGCGAAGTGAGCGATTACAACTATATCACCTGCGTCACCCATACACAGCGTTTATTAAGGTATCTATATGGCCGATCCCGAAGTTGTTATTCAAGATGAATTCGCAGAACATCTGGACCAAACCCTGGTGCATACTTCATCCGGTGGCCACTTCGTGATTCCACTTAGCTAGACCCAGCGATTGAAATAATGCTCATCGAGACAGCCGTTCGACTGGTACGCAACTACCGTTTCCTCACCAGATGGTAACGTCGTACAATACCAGCAGGTTATCGCCGAATTTCGTACTTCAGTTTGACCAAATCGATACCCTTATCCCATATGGATGATGCATTGTTGGGGCGCTGGTGAACCATCTTGTCTCATGATGTATGCAACGCGCAGATTATTTCTCTGTTCGTTACGAAACCACAGGATCATAACAAAGCTATCATTAGCGGATAGATAAATATCTCATCATCATGGATAGCTAAACGTTACACGAACTCTACAGATCTATATAATAGACCCTTCGACAGTTCCGTCATCAAGGCTGGGAACACGGATCGATTTCCCGGTCTAGCGACACCACCTTGCACTTTACAGGTGTGAAATACGCTCCACGTCTATCTATTCAGGGTCTTAGTTGGACTCTGCGGTGGATATATTGTCCATGTTCTTCAGTCGGTCGATTGACATCATCTTCATCCCGGACGTTATCACGCGAATAGGGATTATCCATGATCATTCTGGTCCTGAATTTGAAAAACACAGGCAATTGAATGCAGTCTATGGGCCTGTTGTGGACCACGATTGGGCTTCCGGATCGCAAAAAGATCTCAAGATGAGAAGATGCCTCCTGGCGCGTACTTCAGGGATGCGCTTACCAACAGACAAGTTCAGCTCACAGAGTAACCGATAATCTCTTTAGTCAATCAGGATATCTGGCACGGGCAACCTCTTTGTATGTCGTCGCTCTAGAACCTGACGTAGTTTAACACTAAGATCAACATAACTCATCTTATTTAACTGATTCGCCTTCCACCTGCACCATTGAACCGCCAGATTATAACGATTATTAGCAAATGAAGGCGACGGACACTTGTGGTTGAACTTTTTTGACACCTTTGAAAATGGGTTGGAAAGATTGGCGGGTGTCGATTTGGTGATTAGAATCAACCAAGTGCGCCAACACGGCGCTCATCATAGTTTTTCTCCCACCATTGCGTAGATTAGCTGGACAACGCTCGCGTATTCTCTCAAACAGTCTCCTAGTGATTCTTCCGATGTATCTTGCTCGACATGAACAAGAGAAGGAATATACACAATAAGAAGTACATGACCAAGGAAGTCTGTCTTTGAGTTGAGGCCTCACGATTTGTGTTGAAGTAAAACTTAGCCGCAAGCTCGCTGCGTAGTAGGTATGGCTCATAGCGTCGGATAATCTTCTAGATGTTGCCTGCGCTATACCATCCCCCTTGAACGGCAACGACAAATAAACCGGTTTCTTTTCTACCAAAGCTGGTTTAGCTCTCATTTCTCTGCACTCCATATATTTCCGAACAAATTTTTCTGCAAAGCCATTTCTCTCGAAAACGCCACTTAAGAAACTGAGCTTGTCCGCAAGTGTGTCCTCACTACAAATCCTTCTGGCTCATTCGGTTAGACATCTAATCAAGTTGCGTTTCTGATTTATTGGGACAAAACTGGCAAAATGTATATATTGTGCATTCCACGTTGCTTTTCTATGCACCGTCCGTTGGACCGATCCATCTGTTCTTCTACTAAGTTGAACGTCTAGGAAGGACATCGTGTCATTGCCTTCAGTTTCTAGGGTGAACTTGGCATTAGGGTGCGCTGAGTTAAAATGGGATAAAATTGTCTCTGGGCAACAGTGCCTGTCTGTCACGCAAAATATATCATCCACATATCGTCCGTAATATGGTAGACAGGTAATGACTCTGCTCAGATAGGTATCTCTAATTTGCTCATGAACACATCAGCTAGTATCGGTCCAAGCGGTGAGCCCATTGCTACTCCATCTTTTTGTCTGTATATGGCCCCGTTAAACTGAAATTGTATGTTACTAGTACACAGCAAGAGTAGCTGTTTCAATCGATCACTTGAAAGGCCGATACCCAATTGATGGTCTCGAACGGTGTCACATATATAGTCTATTGTCTCTTCTAACGGAATATTGGTGAAGAGCGACACCACATCCAACGAAAACATCTTTCTTCCGGTTAGTTTAAGCTGTCTTATGGAGTCTAAGAAACTGAATGTGTCTCGTAGGCTGTACCTGGACATAGTATTTCTCACCGGCTCTAGAAGCTTAGCTAATCACTTGGCTGTTGCGTGATACGGTGAATTGCACATGTCTAGTATGGGCCTTAGAGGAAGTCCTTTCTTATGCACCTTCGGTAAGCCGTAGAGTCTCGAGTCTCGGTTCCCACCTACCCATGGGTTTTGGGATTGTTTAAGCTTGTTTGATGTCCTGCCATCATTTGAGGAATTCACGCACACTGAACCCGTTTTAGAGATGGATAAAATTTTCTTGCTCTCCTAACATGTGCATTTTAATACCGTTTTCTTTTCGCACACGAACGCAACTGCTTGACGTGCATGCTGTTCGACAATGTCATTGCCGAGTTCTGTTACGTAAACTATTCGTTTATTTGCGGTTTTTCTTTCATTCCCCACAGACCTGTGCACATTGTCTGATGTTTTTGGCGGATATGTTTCATGATCATTTCTCGAGCTTCTGTAACTCTTGTTTCTCGCCACCCTTCGCATTTCCCCGCAGATTCTTCTCTTCTACATTACAAAGGTTGATCGGACCATCGCTGTTCAAAATCATCCCTATATGTGTATCTTCCCCGTAAGTTTGTTTCACCATTTACTTTACTGACACGCTTCTCTTTTATTTCAGTTTAGGGAAAATGATGATTCCTTGTGAATCCACCTGGTTCTTGCTTCTTTTTCTACTCCTGCTCATCAACTTAAAACTTGAATCTCACAAACCACCACTTATCTGTCATCGCTGTCACCGTTGTCACTTGTTTTTTCAGTCCTAGGCCTTTTTTAATCTATACCGCATACCGCTGCACACGGCGTCCCTGGACGGTCTACTTTCTGCATTTCCTGCTTAAGGAGCGCTCTGACCTAGATACACAAAATTTACCGGTCGTGCTCTGTTGTGGCCTTACCGAAATTTTGTACAGATTGCCATTCCCACAGACGTTTTCAATACACTAATTATCCTTAGCGTAATTAACGATACCTTGATGTCCCTTCAGAGCAGTGAGTTTGTGGGTTCACAAATTAAAAGCATCAGGAGCACTCCGGTACACCATAACGGACGCTTCACGGCTACGCGACGAACTGCGGTCGCATGCCAACCAGGCATTCTGTGACGTCATCCGCACTTACGCAGTTTCGAACTAGTGACATATGCGGTTTCAAGATAGGCGCCTTATCCCCTTGGCTACCAGCGTTTTATAACATTATATCTTCAGTTCAGTAACCGAGTGAATTGGATATGAAGTTGCGTGCGGTTACTCGGAGTCACCAAATTGGGTCCGTCGAGTGGCGACTTATTGCTTTCTACTGTATTTACAGGATTGACGTGCCAGTACTTCCGAATCATCCCGACTGAACTAGTTACCACTGACTTCTTTGTTCCTTTTCCTGCTCGATTGGTTCCACCTTTAACGTTGGTTATTTCTAGTCGGTGCACTTCTGCCTTTCGTGTGTTTGCAGTATGTACAAAATGAATAATATGATTCAACTTACAGATCTATTAACTACTGTGAAACCCCCGAAGTTGGTCACCTCTAAATCGTGATCACCTCTCTAAACTGACCGGTCCAAATTCTCAGGCACGCTATGATTATGACGTAGAGTTTCTACAGTGCCTGGTTGATAAGCTGCTCGATGTGTATGAGGACGGAGTGAAAGTGAAGCAAGTCATCCGCCTCGGCAAAAACACTGCTGAGAAAGACCGACCTATGCGAGTAACTTTTGCTGACGAAGCAAGCCCGAAGCTAATACTATCTCGGCTGGGTAGACTGAAAGGCGATAAGGTGCATATTCGTACGGATATCAATCCAGCTGACCGGGAGCGCTTCAAGTGTGCTACCATGCAGCAAAAAGGGCGAACTCGGTGAGAGAGAAGCAAACCTAAGTATTGTAAATTTCCGGGTAATTATAACATGATCGCAAATGCGGATAGATCGGTCGCTCACACCTTAGGCTCGCACGGTAGTTCTTATCACAGCCTGCGTGTAGCCTTTACCAACGTCCGCAGTCTTATGAACAAACGAGATGATGTGTGTCGTTTAGTTGCTTTCGAGCGACCAGATGTAATGTAACTTGCAGAGACGAAGTTGAACGAGGAGGTAGTCACCCAGGAAGTTGAGCTTAGTGGCTACTCATGCTTCCACTGTGATAGGCCATCGAATGTCCACGATGACGTCTTGTTCTACATCCGAACTTCTCTGTGTGGGAGACTCGTGAGCGTGCACCGAAGGGAAGATGGCCTATGTGAGCAGTTGTGCTGATCGATTCCTCACGGGCGCGGAGAGCTGCTCGTGTATGCATTCTGTCATAGTCCCTTGAGCCGTTGTTTGGATTGGCTGCCGCATCTCCGAGACCACACGAATCGCCGGCAGTTTCTACTCATAGGCGATTTCGATTGTCCTCGAATAGGCTGGTCTGAAGTTGAACATATCACCGGTTATTGTGAGGTCGAAGCAAAGTTTGCTGATATGGTACATGAAACTGGGGCAGCACAGCATATGTGCCAACCGACGCGCATAACACCGCACTCAACTCCATCGTGCTTAGACTTGATGTTAACCAGCTGTGGACAACCTGTGTATGACATTCGGAATCGGGAACTTCTGGCACCAAACGAATACTAAGTTTTTAGTGCCAACATGGAGCTACCACTGCAGCAATCCCACAGACTGCAGCCAGATTACAAATACTGGAAGACGGATTTCGACATCCTGACTCGAGTCATAAGCCAAGTGCATTGGTTTCTGCCGCAATCCGCATCTGCTGAAGCGTGTTGGTCAGTTATAAAGAATACTGAATACTGAATACTGTATTTTGGAGCAAGTAGAAAATAATTCTGTACAACTCCATCGGGTGATAATCAAAAAAAACATTTTAAAAAAAATAAATAAACACGTCCGGTGGTTATCATGAGATGGTTCAGCAACTCCTGTAGCACACAAAATGCTTGTTTACACAGGGAGTCACAAGTGGGTGATATCGTTGTCAAGTGGCAACCGTTCTCTGAAACGTATGTTAGCGAAGTGTACATCCAACAAAGATTTGAATTTCTGCACAGATTCAGCCTCGACGACGTGTTCTGGAAGACTGTTCCAGGCGTGTACAACCCTCCGCTCGAAACACAGGGGGTGTGGGATTTTCTTCAGATCAGGTACCACGAGTTTGTACCTGTGCCCACGTGTGGTGCATGGTACTCGCAAGTGGAGTAACGACCTTAGCATGGGGAAATGACCGAGATGTAAAATACGGTAGGTCATGATAAGATCCACTCTAACACGGCGATATGACAAGGTGTAGAGCCCAAGTTTCATGCACCGGTTTTCATACGACAAGCCTCTCAAACTGGGGATCAACTTGGTGGCGATGTGTTGTACTCGTTCAATCTTTTGCGCTTCGCCGCGAGTGATCGGACAATATGCAGGCGAGCCGTACTCTACCATTGGTCTGACGATGGAAGAGAAGAGGCGAGTGGCGACGTCCTCAGACCAAGTGCAGAAGCTGCGTTTCAACGCCCAGAGCATGCGCAGTCCGTTTCGATACAGTTTGTTGGTGTTGTCGACGGACTTCAAGTCGCAGCGTGAGAGTACACCTAGGTCTTTCACGGAAGGTGTGGGATGCAGTGGTTGGCCGTCTAGGGTGTACGTTCGATCGTGAACAGCCTTCCCGAGACTCATGAATAGAGACTTGACCGGGTTGACCGGTAGGTGGACTTCAGCAGACCATACTGCGAGGCGGTCGAGGTCTTGTTGGAGAATGTCACAGTCATCGAGAGTATTAATTTCTCGCCAAATTTTGAGGTCATCCGCAAACAGTGCACAAGGCGACCGTAGAAGCTGGGGCAGCTCGTTGATGTGGATGAGAAACAGAGTGGGTCCCAGTACCGTACCTTGAGGTACACCACTGGTCGAGGGATACCAATCGGTTAGATGGCCGTCCACCTGTACCCTCCACTTTCTTCCAACGAGAATAGACTAGATGCAGTTTGTAAACAATTTGTGTCTCCAAAGTGTCGGAAAATCAGACTGACCAAACCACATCGGTTCGACAAAGGATATGACATGCTGGCTCAGCAGCCACGCAGGCCATGGGACAAATTCCTTATCTCCGGTTCGGATGAAGACTATGAGATGTATAAAAAGCAGCGAAATATCAGTAACGGCTTGAAAAAACAGCAAAATCAGGCGTTACGAAGAACAGCTTGCAACCGAAGCAAAAAAAAGCACCAAAGAGAATCTTTGCGGATGTGAAGCGGCGTCTGAGGCCGACAAGAAACCTACCAGTGTTAAAGGAGGAGAACAGACAGCCTCTAACTTCCAGCACTGAGCGAGCTTCCTCATTGGCGGCGCAATTTGCTTCCGTGTATGCAGAAAGCCAGGTGTCTGTACCGAGTCCGGCGTGCGCCACACTTACCGAACTCGACAGTCTGGATTGTGATGTGGGAGAGGTGTGTCAGCAACTCGACAATCTTGATGGCACCAAGTCTGCTGGACTCCACCCTCTGATTCTCAAATCCTTATCAGTCATCATCTCGCCTGCCGTAACTGACCTGTTTAACAGGTTTTCGTCCGAAGGCACATAGCCGATTAATTGGAGATACTCTGTGGTAAGACCGATTCCGAAAGGCGGTGACCGCAACAAGGTAGACAAGTACAGGCCAATTTGTTTGACAGCTGTTTTGGCAATGGTTGCAGAGAAGATTATGAAGAAACGTTTGCTACAGGTGTACCGGTCAAAAGATCTACTGACGCTCGCACAGCACGGTTTTACGCTAGGCCATTCATGCATCACCAGAGGAAGTCTATCGACGTGATCTACATCGGTTTTAGTAGCGTTCGACAATGTGAAGTATGAGGTTCTCCTTCTAAAGCTGAGGGTGTGTGGTGTTGGTGGATCTCTGCACCAGTGGATCCAAGACTTACTCGTTGGACGAAAGTGAAGGGTACAAGTCGATAGCCACCTGACCGATTGGTATCCTTCGACCAGTGGCGCATCTGAAGGCACAGCGCTGGGGCCTACATTGTTCCTGATTTATATCAACTACCTACCTCAGCATCTCCGGTCGCCGTGTGCCTTGCTTGCAGAAGACTTGAAGAGATGCAGAGAGATAAGCACGCACGACGACTGCGGCTTGCGACAACAAGACCTAAACTGGCTTTCCGCCTAACGGCCAACCTATCCAAATCGGTATTCATGAGCCTGGAGAAAGGTGGTGACGACCCAACCTACACTCTCGACGGCTAACTGCTACAACCCACACCTTCTGTGAACGAGCTAAGCGTATACTCACGTTGCGACTTGAAGTCCGTTGACAACATGAACAGGCTATATCGTAATGGACTGCGCATGCTCCGGGCACTCAAACAGTTTCTGAAGCTGGTCTGAAGAGGTTGCCACACGTCTCTTCTCCATCTACAAACCAATGCTAGAGTACGCTCGCCGACCTATTGCCCGACCACTCGCGGTGAGGCGCAGAAGATTGAACGGAATCAACACACCGATACTCGAGGCTCATTCCCATTTTGCGAGGATTACCGTACGAGGACAAGTACGAGGGACTGGGGCAGTTCACCTTGGCATATCGTCGGTCACGTGTCGACCTCTTTATGGCCTACCGGATTCTACATGTAGGCGACTTCCCCATGCAAAGACCACAGCTACACGTGCGAAGGCCTTGCAGCACATGCGGACAACACCACAAGCTTGTGGTTCCAGACATGAAGCGAGTTCTCCTTCCCTTGTGCTTGGAATGGCGAGTGTTAAATGTCTGGGAACGGTTTGCCGGAACATATAGTGGAAGCGAACTCAATGTCGTTATGTGTATTTCTCAAATATTAAATTCCGTGAACGACTACCTACAGGCATCTGGCATTTTTGAGGCCAAAACTATTACGATTTTTTAACGATATAACGTGAAAACATGAAAAACGATCAGCGTATCGACAAGTCATAGTTTGGATATATTTGGGTGTTGCTCTTCCCAACACTGACAGTGTTGGGAAGAGCAACACCCAAATATATCCAAACTATGACTTATCGATACGCTGATCGTTTTTCACGTTCTCACGTTATATCGTTAAAAAATCGTAATAGTTTAGGCCTCAAAAATGCCAGATGCCTGTAGGTAGTCGTTCACGGAATTTAATATTTGAGAAATACACATAACGACATTGAGTTCGCTTCCACTATATGTTCCGGCAAACCGTTCCCAGACATTTAACACTCGCCATTCCAAGCACAAGGGAAGGAGAACTCGCTTCATATCTAGAACCACAAGCTTGTGGTGGTGTCCGCATGCGCTGCAAGGCCTTCGCAAGTGTAGCTGTGGTCTTTGCATGGGGAAGTCGCCTACATGTAGAATCCGGTAGGCCATGAAGAGGTCGACACGTGACCGACGATATGCCAAGGTGAACTGCCCCAGTCTCTCGTACTTGTCTTCGTACGGTAATCCTCGCAAAATGGGAATGAGCCTAGAGTATCGGTGTGTTGATTCCGTTCAATCTTCTGCGCCTCACCGCGAGTGGTCGGACAATAGGTCGGCGAGCGTACTCTAGCATTGGTTTGTAGATGGAGAAGAGACGTGTGGCAACCTCTTCAGACCAGCTTCAGAAACTGTTTGAGTGCCCGGAGCATGCGCAGTCCATTACGATATAGCCTGTTCATGTTGTCAACGGACTTTAAGTCGCAACGTGAGTATACGCTTGGCTCGTCCACAGAAGGTGTGGGTTGTAGCAGTTGGCCGTCGAGAGTGTATGTTGGGTCGTCACCACCTTTCTCCAGGCTCATGAATACCGATTTGGATAGGTTGGCCGTTAGGCGGAAAGCTAGTTTAGGTCTTGTTGTCGCAAGCCGCAGTCGTCGTGCGTGCTTATCTCTCTGCATATCTTCAAGTCTTCTGCAAGAAACGCACACGGCGACCGGAGATGCTGAGGTAGGTAGTTGATATAAATCAGGAACAATGTAGGCCCCAGCACTGTGTCTTGGAATACGCCACTGGTCGAAGGATACCAATCGGTCAGGTGGCTATCGACTTGTACCCTTCACTTTCGTCCAACGAGAAAGTCCTGGATCCACTGGTGCAGAGATCCACCAACACCACACACCCTCAGCTTTAGAAGGAGAACCTCATACTTCACATTGTCGAACGCTACTAAAACCGATGTAGATCACGTCGATAGACTTCCTCTGGTTCTTTTTCTGCATCCATTCATGCCTTGTCACAGCAGGTTGGTGATGCATGAATGGCCTAGCGTAAAACCGTGCTGTGCGAGCGTCAGTAGATCTTTTGACCGGTACAGCTCTAGCAAACGTTTCTTCATAATCTTCTCTGCAACCTTTGCCAAAACAGCTGTCAAACAAATTGGCCTGTACTTGTCTACCTTGTTGCGGTCACCGCCTTTCGGAATCGGTCTTACCACAGAGTATTTCCAATTAATCGGCTATGTGCCTTCGGACAAAAACCTGTTAAACAGGTCAGTTACGGCAGGCGAGATGATGACTGATAAGGATTTGAGAATCAGAGGGCGGAATCCAGCAGACTTGGTGCCATCAAGATTGTCGAGTTGCTGACACACCTCTCCCACATCACAATCCAGACTGTCGAGTTCGGTAAGTGTGGCGCACGCCGAACTCGGTACAGGCACCTGGTTATCTGCATACACGGAAGCAAATTGCGCCGCCAATGAGGAAGCTCGCTCAGTGCTGGAAGTTAGAGGCTGTCTGTTCTCCTCCTTTAACACTGGTAGGTTTCTTGTCGACCTCAGACGCCGCTTCACATCCGCAAAGATTCTCTTTGGTGCTTTTTTTGCTTCGGTTGCAAGCTGTTCTTCGTAATGCCTGATTTTGCTGTTTTTCAAGCCGTTACTGATATTTCGCTGCTTTTTATACATCTCATAGTCTTCATCCGAACCGGAGATAAGGAATTTGTCCCATGGCCTGCGTGGCTGCTGAGCCAGCATGTCATATCCTTTGTCGAACCGATGTGGTTTGGTCAGTCTGATTTTCCGACACTTTGGAGACACAAATTGTTTACACACTGCATCTAGTCTATTCTTTATAACTGACCAACACGCTTCAGCAGATGCGGATTGCGGCAGAAACCAATCCACTTGGCTTGTGACTCGAGTCAGGCTGTCGAAATCCGCCTTCCAGTATTTGTAATCTGGCTGCAGTCTGTGGGATTGCTGCAGTGGTAGCTCCATGTTGGCATTAAAAACTTAGTATTCGTTTGGTGCCAGAAGTTCCCGAATCCGAATGTCATACACAGGTTGTCCACAGCTGGTTAACATCAAGTCTAAGCACGATGGAGTTGAGCGCGGTGTTATGCGCGTCGGTTGGCACATATGCTGTGCTGCCCCAGTTTCATGTACCATATCAGCAAACTTTGCTTCGACCTCACAATAACCGGTGATATGTTCAACTTCAGACCAGCCTATTCGAAGACAATTGAACTCGCCTATGAGTAGAAACTGCCGGCGATTCGTGTGATCTCGGAGATGCGGCAGTCAATCCAAACAACGGCTCAAGGGACTATGACAGAATGCATACACGAGCAGCTCTCCGCGCCCGTGAGGGATCGATCAGCACAACTGCTCACATAGGCCATCTTCGCTTCGGTGCACGCTCACGAGTCTCCCACACAGAGAAGTTCGGATGTAGAACAAGACGCCATCGTGGACATTCGATAGCCTATCACAGTGGAAGCATTAGTAGCCACTAAGCTCAACTTCCTTGGTGACTACCTCATCGTTCAACTTCGTCTCTGCAAGTTACATTACATCTGGTCGCTCGAAAGCAACTAAACCACACACTTTATCTCGTTTGTTCATAAGACTGCGGACGTTGGTAAAGGCTACACGCAGGCTGTGATAAGAACTACCGTGCGAGCCTAAAGTGTGAGCAACCGATCTATCCGCATTCGCGATCATGTTATAATTACCCGAAAATTTACAATACTTAGGTTTGCTTCTCTCTCACCGAATTCGCCCTTTTTGCTGGATAGTAGCACACTTGAAGCGCTCCCGGTCAGCTGGATTGATATCCGCACGAATATGCACCTTATCGCCTTTCAGTCTACCCAGCCGAGATAGTATTAGCTTCGGGCTTGCTTCGTCAGCAAAAGTTACTCGCATAGCTCGGTCTTTCTCAGCAGTGCTGTTGCCGAGGCGGATGACTTGCTTCACTTTCACTCCGTCCTCATACACATCGAGCAGCTTATCAACCAGGCACTGTAGAAACTCTACGTCATGATCATAGCGTGCCTGAGAATTTGGATCGTTGGACTCAGGCGTGTGAAAAAGTATCAGATCTAATCGCCTATTGTGATTCAAAGTGGTTCCTGTGGGAGTAGGGTGGACTCGAGCCTTGCTTGATTTGGCCTGTTGTTGGTCAGTGGCAAGAAGGCTTTTTCCGTTTCGTGGCTTCTTCTGTCTTTGAGTTTTCCACGCCTTCTCATGCATCGAGCATACATCTGCGTCAGCAGAGCTAACAGCGCTCCAAATCGGTGGATCAGTAACCTCCGTTAGTTTCGTGTCTCCGGAAAAATTAGGATAGCGAGGTAATGAGTTGTCAGAGGGCCTTGAATGGGAGGTAGGCCGGATTGAACCTTGGATGGACTCTAGACCAATTTGCGGGACCGTAGGTCTAGAAGTGCTCACAGTTAAACGTTTTTACTCGCGACCTGCATCGGTAGACGTTATACATTTCTCCGGCTTTCTTAGACTGCAACATTTGTACTAACTTTGCATAAAATCATGTTGGATAGAACGCAGCAGACGATAGGAATGGACAGGTAATCCTACACACGAAATATGAAATCTAGCACAACAAACAAATTATGTTAGGGCATTTACTGTGTTTTCAACAACTTTCAAACAGAAACCATATGGTGTTTTCTTTGGCATTTTAAAAATTGATGCAAAACTGCCGTAAATTGGGAAAGTAGAACTTGACAAAACGTAACTACGCCATCTGTGGGAAGATACCACACAAAATATGATCCAGAAATTACAGGCTCAGAAATCATATTGTATGATTCCGCAATTTCCACAGAATAATTCCAATATGTCGGTAAATCCGCAAGAGAGTATCCTGACAACGCACCCACGGAATAAGCAACCTAAAAGTCGCTAATCGCAGCATTAGCGTTTTTTTCAACTTGGCACTCATTTAGAGACTGAGCTGGGTTAAATTTTCATTTGTCACTTACCATCAACAGCTATTCTATTTTTGTTTTCTTGTAGATTCTAGCTTATATATTAGCACGGAATGGCTTCCGATACCTTCGTTCGTGGCACAGCAAGTTCTTTGCTTGGTTCGGTGATATCTCACTCGAAGTAAGTGCAGCAGTTGCGTGCTTAGCTCATTCTCTATCTCCGTACCAGTCCGTCTTCCCTAATGTCACACTTTTGTGGTTTATTTGTGTCATATGTCTCTACTGTCAATCTTGTGCTTAGTCAATACCCCTTAGCTTTCGCTCTTGATTCCACCCCAGCCTGCTCCATCTGTGTGTTTCACTGATCGGCTACGGCTCATATTGAATTGAGTGCCACTGCACCTGTCCGTTGCGTCACCTACTCACCTAAAACCCAAGATAATTAGTTCGTGAACTTATTTCTAGTTTGTTTAGAGCTGTCCAACCACTAGAGCTACATTTCATAGCAATTTCAGGTTCCTTTGACTGGACTTTTAGTTATCTAACAACCTTTTCCTTCCTTTTCCTAGACTATTTTCCCCAACCAGTGTGATTCTTCTTACAGCTGCTGTGGAAGCATGGCTTCTGGTTTCGTAGTAGTATTTAGAATAATGCATAAAAGCCATTGTTTAACAAGTCCTGTTGGATTGGCAGGGTAATCACTACCAAATCAAACTGTGCCCGTCCATAAAGCAACGCGAGCATCAGTGGAACGATGTGGGAACGATATTTTACGCGCAGAATTCATGCCCAACCTCTCCCGATAGACGACAAAGTTGGGAGTTGCATAAAACTACATAAACTGGCACACGGAGTCGTTGTACTTAACTTAGATTATGAGGAGGTATAATGCTCCTGTATGTCTTTCCCTGCGTCTATGTGGTTCACACTTCTAAGGCCAGTTATAATATTGTGTCGCAGAATATTTCAGTCTTTGTAACATTGATATCTAACATAACAGCATCAACCACTTCGCTCTGGAAAGCGTTTCAGAGTTTAGCCAAATACGCAAGTAGTTTCGACACGTCCACTAAACGCTCCGGGTGCCTTCTGTCCGTGCTAACATGAGGGAGGTATCACAGCAGCTTGGTGTTACTTTTTCTCGTCATTGGTTTTTAACTCACAGAACTCACACTACGTCTGAAGTTGTCAGGCCTAGATGGCATGTCTAACTTGAGGAAGCATGTAAGCATTACGTATTATGACGATGATTGATGAATCACGATCCACGGGTGCCCTGCTCAAGTGATCTACGTGGTTATCACTTCTTCTTGTAGTTAACTCAGACCTTATTAAAGAACCGAGGTCGCATCCCTAGCTGTGTTCATAAAACCATTGTGAATTCCTACTTCACTACGTAACTGATACTATACAATCCTGATTCGTTTGTGCAACTTTGATTATATCTATTTACAAGTTGTGCATTTTTTCTCCACAGTTGTACCCACGATGATTGGTCAGATTACCACCATTGATCACATTCAGTATCTGAATTAACTGTACTGCCTTTTTACATTTTCCTCTTAGTCTTTATTATATGACTTTTCATTATTTACTGACAAAGATCTGCGAAGCTCAGACATCCGTTTACTTTGCTTTAACGCACCACTTATTACGTCATCGAATGAGCACGGACTGCCCGAGTTGACCACGTGGACTTATATCTGTATCTAATTACGAGTCCGTTCACCTATTCGTAAGTTATGCGTTTTTATTTACTTAGTTCTCATAGATGTAGAACCACGATTGCTTCAGTACAATTTATTCTGCCCACCGCCCTTCATTCTCAAAACTCAGACCGTGCGTCTAGATAGGTGTCGTCAGCTCGGGTTTAAACACCCATTTCTGCAGTAACAATAGTTGCATAGTTCTGACTCGCTCTCAGATGGGTGCATCTGGAATGCGTTCGTTGTCACCGCGTTCGTAGGATGCAGACGCTAGTAGATGTATGCCCACCTCTAATCAACTGTCTGCGGCATTGCGTAGAATTATAGAACTAGAAAGTCGGTTGGAAGCTTTTACTTCTAAGGATGCAGTCATGGTACCTTCGGGAGTCGTTAAACTAACTGCTCGATCCAAATTGTCCTACGGGAGGCACCAGAATTTTTGACGCCTGCCGGTTTTGGTGAAGATTACATTGCAATAGGTGATGCGCAGCACGATGTAGAGTACGGGGATACATGCTTACCAACAGCGCGATTTTCCTGGGATCGAGTCTTGCCCGAAACTTTTCCTGGAAGCGCCGTGGGTGCACTGGTACCTCGCTGGCTCGCCGAAGAGGGAGATTGGCCGCTTTAACGGTGACCCGTTGCAGTACTGGCTGTTTATGCGCAGTTTTCATACAAGTGTCATGGGTGTTACCCTTAATACTTGGATCAGACTCCTACCTGGTTACTTATTGTGAAGGCCAGTCTCCGGAGGCGATCGAGAGTTGCGTCATATTGGAACCAGAAGAAGGTTTTCGCGATGTCATGGACACGCTAAAATCTAGATCCGGCCGTCCTCAGGGACCATCAATCTAGTCGAACAATTCTGAAGCGCTGCATAGATTGATTGGGCAGATAAAAGCTTGCTTGACTACGCTGCAATAGTTGAACTACAAGGCCGACCTGAATGCGACTGTGGCGGTGTCTTCGGTGATTAAGCGGTTGCCTTGTGCTCTGCAGCTCGATTGGTCCAAGCTTGCCACCAGCATCCTGCGCACTTACGGAGAACCAGCATTCAGAGACCTGTACCAATTGTCTGTGATGCCGCGGTAATGCAGGTCATTTACTTGAATGAAAGCGCTCCAAGACCCAGCAGAAAGACTCCAAAATTGTGGTAATCATATAACCGCTTAAGTAACTGGAGGAATAGTACCTCGGACCCAGAGACTTGCACCATCGTGTGTAACGTGCACAGGACATAATTACCTCGATCAGTGTCCTCGATTCCAAACTATGGACAGGACTGAGCGCTTGCTCATTGTTTCTGGGTAAGGTTTATGCGAATTGTGCCTCAAAGCCAACCACACGTCTGCAAATTGCAGATCCCGATACACTTGCGGACTCAGCGGTTGCCAGTTGAAACACCGCTCTTTGTTACACGAAGCTAACCTGAAGCAACTAACCTCACCAATGGCAGTGGTCAATGAAATTGCGTCTGGGCGCCCAATGGCTCTACGAATTCTCTAGAACAAAAGACCATCTGGTGAGCAATTGCTTTCAATGATTCGTCATCAGACCATTACAATCATCTAGAGGCTAGAATGAGAAATCGACCCAGTTAGTTCAGAATGCCTTGATCACGTGAAGGTCAATGTCAGAGTGGAGAAAACGAATTAGGTCTTAGAGGGCTGGCTGTTTGCTACCGCGTCTGACCGAAGGCAGTCGACGTGGGCGTCTTCCATCTTCGTTGGCCAGGGGAGCTGGAGAGCCTGGACCAGCTTCTTCTGTGAGCATAAGGACGGCTGGAACAATCGAATGCATATTGCTTCAGCTGTCGCAAGCGTACGCAGGCGATAACCTTTCGTTCGGTGCGGCGGAGCCTTGTAAACTATTCGGAAAGCGCGTTTCCAATCCACTTCATGGCCGGTGTCCACAATGTGGGCCAGCATGGCGCTACTAATGGTCCCGGTGCCCCCTTGATGCAGCCAACGAGGGCAATGTTCGTTCACGCGTTTTGATAACTGCCGCACCGTTCGACCAATATACGTCGCGCCACAGGCTCACACGAATTGATAAATTACCATTGATGTGGTCAGCATCGGCAGCTTGTCCTTGTTTTGTGAACGAATGAGTGGTTCCGTTGAGAACACGCACTTCAACGAGGCTGCTGTTATGTATGTATGTTTGTATCCTCAACAGTCTATCAACTAGACATAGAGCCAGAATAAAACCATGGAGATTAGGGGATAAGCAAGAATCATCGCGTCATAATCACCGTGGCATGCTAGTTGAAGGTGAGCAACACACTTCAACTAATATGCCGCAGGAAGAATAGAACATTTTGACCAAAAGTAGAACAAAACATTTTTAGTTTGTTTTCACACGCCGTTTTTGCTTTTTTTGTCAGTTTAATGTTTGTAGTATTAAACACATGAATCAATACAATACTGTACACAATTCTTCCATTGATTCCGGTTGCGGGCCATGTCTCCTAGTGTGTTAAGCCATTGACACTCCTCATTTTTGGGTCCCCATCCTGGAAGACGTACGGATCCAACAGCGGCTAGACACGACGTCAGCGATTTCATGTGTTGCCGCCATGTAGAAGGCTGACCACCACGCGGTCGCCTCCAGCCAGGTCCTTGACGAGCGAATAGAGCGCGACGCGGTAGACTCTCAGGTGCCATACGTAGGACGTGACCGAGCGATCTCAACTGGCCCAACAAAACCAGTTTGTTGAAGGGAATACTCGCATTCCCCAAGATGCGACGTCGGACGTCATTATTATTAACTCGATGTTGCCACCAAACACGAGCGATCCTCCTTAAGCAACCGTTATCAAACGCAGAAAGACGACGCATGTCTTCCACGCGAATCGGCCAGGACTCGCACCCATACAACAATACTGAGCGAACTGATGCGCTGTAAACGCGGCCCTTTAGTGAGAATGAGACGTCGCGACGACGCCACAAGTGCCTCAGATTGACAAATGCTGATCGAGCTTTAGCGATACGAAGAGAAACTTCTTTGTTTATAGTGCCGTCAGCAGAAACACAGCTCCCAAGGTAGACGAAACTATCTACCTGTTCAAGTTGTGCACCTTCGAGAGTGAGTACGGGAGCAGGTGAAAGCCAATCCTTGAGCAGTACTTTACACTTCGATGGGGCGAAGCTCATGCCATACTTAGATGCTTCAACCGCCAAACGATCCAGAATGAGTTGCATACTCTGAGGATCGTCACCAAGTAAGGCGATATCATCAGCATAATCTAAGTCGGTCGCGCGCTCACCCGGTAGAAGCTCTAAGCCAAACTGTTGGAAACCTTCTAGAGCATTCGACAGAACGTCTTCGATTGCGAAGTTGAACAAGAATGGAGACATAGGGCAGCCCTGTCGCACACCACTATTGACAGTGGATTGCGAGGAAAGCTTGCCATAGACCCTCACTCTGCCGCATGTATGAAGGTAAAGTGCTCGTAAGATGGCGGTATATTTCT